ACCATTTTTGTAAACATATCAGTTAGATTTTTAGTCCCTTCAATCTTCTTGAGAGTTATAACTCCTTCTTCCAAAACTGAGCGTATGAAATGGTAACAAACTTTTATGTGTTTTGTCCTAGCATGGTAGACTGGGTTCTTTGCCAAGTGAATTGCATTTTGACTATCACAATACAAAACGCTCTTTTCATAATTCTGACCCAATTCTTCTAGGAATCGTTGTAACCATATTAGCTCTTTACTAGCTTCTGTCATAGCAACATACTCTGCCTCTATAATAGAAAGAGCAGCAATCTTTTGTAACTTTGAAACTCAACTGACCGATGTATCACCTAATAATGTAAAGACATAACCTGTGATACTCTTGCGGTTATCAATGTCACCAGCCATATCAACATCCACATAACCTTTGTAGCTCTAAGTTTGACTTCCTAAAACATAATGCTGAATCTGTAGTACTTTTCAAATATCTAAGAATCCACTTCACTGCTTCCCAATGTTTCTTTCCTAGATTGCTTATGTACTTACTCACAACTCCCATTGCATGTACTATGTCTAGCCTTGTACACACACCTGACATACATAAGATTGCCAATCGCTGATGCATATGGTACCTTGGCCATGTAGTCTCGCTAATGTTCTGTTGTAGGTGACTGATCTTTAGATAGTTTAAAGTGACTAGCCAAAGGAGTACTTATTGGCTTTGTTCCATCCATGTTGAACCTATTGAGTACTTTCTTCACATACTTTTTTTGTGACAGCTTCAAGAAACATTTTGCTCTGTCTCTAGTAATCCTCACACCAAGGACTTGTTTTGTAGCTCTCAAATCCTTCATAGCAAACTCCTTTGACAATTGCCTTTTTAGCTTGTCTATTTCCTATGTACAAGCCTTTGTAATCAACATCTCATCTCTCATTTCCTTATACTTTAAAAGTAAACACATCAAACTTCTTGTACCACTATCTAGGCGCCTATTTTAGCCCATATAGCTCTTTAGAAGTTTGCACACCATTCTCTCATTTCCTTGTACTTTAAAACCATGTGGCTACTGCATATAAATTTTTTTCATCTAGTTCTCCATGAAGAAACATCGTCTTTACATCTAACTGCTCGAGATGAAGGTCTTCTTTTGCCACTAACCCAACTACTGTTCTTATTGTAGTCAACTTGACAACTAGAGAGAAAATTTCAATGTAGTCAATGCCTTCTTTCTATTGAAATCATTTCACAATCAGTCTTGCTTTATATTTTTTGTTGCCATCATGTTCATCTTTCACCCGATAAACCCACTTGTTTTGCAATGCCTTCTTCCTTTGTGGTAGCTTTGTCAATTGCCAGGTTTGATTTGTTAATAATGAGTCCATCTCATCCTTCATGGCTAGCTCCCACTTGATTGAGTCATTAACTTGCATTGCTTCCTCGTAACACTCTGGTTCACCACCATCAATTAATAAAATATAGTGCAAAGAAGGGGAGTACCTCTGTGGTGGTCTTATAGTCCTGGAAGATCTTTTAGGTTCAAACACGGCGTTTTTGGTTTAACTTCTTGAGCTATATTATCTTGATCTTCCTGGTCATTGTCCTGCATGCCATTCATTGGGAAGTCTTTCAAAGGAACTACCTCCTACTTCTTCACTTAAATGCTTGGATTTTCTAACTTTATGTTGAGTCTATCCTTATACATTACTTCTTCATTAAATATGAAGTCTCTACTTATTATAGTCTTGCAGTTTTGGTCATCCCAGAAACGATAACCACACTCTACGTCACCATAACCAATGAAAAAACATTTGTTAGACATCAAGCTTACTTTTAAGAGTAAAGTCAATGTGAACATATGCTAAACAACCAAACACTCTTAAGAAAGAATAATTTACCTCTTTGCCGCTCCAAACTTCTTCTAGGATCTTGCAATTTAATACTATAGAGAGTCCTATGTTAAGCAAGTAGGCTGCAGTACTGATTGTGTCAGCCCAAAATGTATGTGGCAGTCTAACGTGCAATCTGATGCTTCTTGCACGCTCATTTAGGGTTCTATTCATCCTTTCGGCGACACCATTCTATTGAGGAGTTGCAAGAATGGTCTTCTCCATCTTGATCCCATTACTGGTACAATATTCTTTGAACCCTTGATTAATGTATTCTCCCCCATTATCGGATCGCAAGCACTTCATCCTTATGTTTGTCTCATTTTCAACCATGGCTCTCCACTTTTTAAAAGAATAAAAAACATCATATTTATTTTTCAAAAAATAAACTCATACCTTTCTGCTCGCATCATCAATGAATGTCTCACAGTACTTTGAGCTCCAAGGGATGACACAGGAGCAGGTCCCCACACATTTGTATGAACCAACTCCAACTTCTTTGCCTTTGGTTCCTTTGCTACTTTGGAAAAACTTACTTTTCTCTGCTTGCCAAAGATGCAACCTTCACACAAACTATGATCAATCGACTTCAACTCTGATAGTTTTCCCTTTGATTGAAGCTCCTTCATTCCTTTCATGCTTATATGCCCAAGTCTACAATGCCATAAACCTGAGGTAACATTAGCATCTACGATTGTAACTAAATCTCTGTAACTAGAAGTCATGTAAAGAGTTCCAGTTTTATTTACATGAGCAACCACCATGGCTCCTTTGGTAACTTTCCATACACCACATAGAAAGGACACACTATGCCTTTCATCATCAAGTTGCCCAACTGATATTAGATTGCGCATCAATTTTGGTACATGTCTTACTTCTGGACTTTCCACACAGATCCGTTTGTCATCTTCAACCTGACATCACCTATACCAACAATATCCAAAGGTTCTCCATCTGTTAGGTATACCTTTCCATGATTTCCAGTCACATAATTTTCTAGAATTTCATGGTGTGCAATGGTATGGAATGAAGCTCCTGAATCTAAAACCCAAGAGTCAATAGAATTATCAACATATAAAAGTAAAGCATCTTGTACCTCTTCAGTTACGGCATTGGTGGCATCGTCATTGTTGTTCACCTCTTTCTTTGGTGTTTTGCAATTCCTCTGCCTTGGTTTGAATTCTTATTGTAGCCCTTGCCCCTTGTTTTAACATTCAAAGCATTCGACGGTATCTCACCTGAATCTTTCTTGTGAACCTCCTCAGCGAGAATTTTATCTTTGAAATCTGTGAGTTTTAATTTTGTACTACTTGTTGAATTACTAATTGCTACTCTCATAGGCTCTCAACTATTTGGTAGGGAGGCCATAAGAATTAGGACACGAACTTCTTCATCAAAATCAATTTTTACAGATGGCAGTTGATTAATAATTGTATTAAAATCATTCATATGCTCTGTCACGGAAGCACATTCTCTCATCTTAAGATTAAATAATTTTTTCATAAGATGTACCTTGTTATTCGCAAAAGGCTTCTCATACATATCGGACAAGATCTTCATCAACCTTGTTGTGGTTGTCTCCTTTGCCACGTTACGTGTCACATTCTTGGTCAATGTCAATAGAATGAATCCTAATACTTATCTATCAAGGAGTGCCCAATCTTCATCTAACATCTTTTCGGGTTTTTCTCCTAAAAGAGGTAGATGTAATTTTCTGTCATACAGATGATCTTCAATTTGCATCTTCTAGAATGCGTAATCTGTACCATCAAACTTGTTGATCCCAGGTGTAAATCCTCCTTCTTCTCCAACCATCGCTTTCTTCCTTGAACCTGGCTTTGATACCAGTTGTTGGGGGGATTTAATTGAATACTAACAGGGCAGATCCAGAAATTTTTACTAGGGTGGGCCAAATAAAAATCAATTGTATATAACATTCGTATTCTATTTTTCCAGTCAATATTGTCACACACAAAAAAAAAAAATTACATTTACTATTGTCCTCGGCAGGGCTTCATATTGAGGAATCGTTGCATGACCATCTCTTTATCAACACTGTCAAATATATCTTTCTCAACATATGGAATTAGGCTATCATTCAAGAATTGATCTCTCATCTGATTGCGTAAATGAGTCTTCATAATTTTCATAGCAGAAAATGCCCTTTCTACACTTGCAGTTGCAACTGGTAAGGTTAAAGCTAATGTAATGAGCAAATATACCAATGAGTAAATAAGATGCTCCTTCTTTTCAACCATTTTTTGAGCAAGACTGGTAATATCATTTAGTTTTGAAAATCAATATTTGAGTGCATATCATCAATGTAATTATCAAGTTGAAGTTCAAGTGCCATAAGATCAGTAGAAGAAAATTCAAGTGGATAAAATTGAGCAAAACAAACTAATTTTCCCTTATCAAATACTTGAAAGCAATCACTTGGATTTAGGGAGGCCATGCAAATAAGTAATTTTGTATTACCTTCATTAAAATGACTATTAAGATTTGATAGTTGCAATTCTATTATGGCATAGAACAACTCAACACGATAATGAAATAAATTTGTCATCTCTTGAACATTACGCCGCAATCTCCCTCATGCAACAAATTTCTCTTGCATATTTAGCATATCTATATTATGAGCAATGCAAAAATGAGAAACTTCATCAAGTAGATTATGCCATCCGTTATTTCTTATCAACAATAATCTTCTTTTTGACAAGTGGACCAAAGACATAGCATTTATACTATCTTGATCATTCCTTTGTAATGCTTGTGAAAATTCAAATGTGATTCCCAAAATGTTTTTCATCATGTGCAGGTTAAAAGAAAAATCAAAAGAAGTCATATAATCCACCAAATCACTTGCTTCAACTCTATTATCAGAATTTTCAGTAAGATCCTCAAGCACTTCAATAATAGATGAAAAAAAAATTAATCAAGCTCAATAAAGTCCCATAATGTGACCCCACCATGTTTCCCCTAGTCGCTTAAGACTAGTAACTTGATTAAGACCTTGCCCTGTTGAAAGCTCACCACTTTCAATAGCTTTTTTCACCTTCAATGCTTGTTTCTCATAAAGAAGATCCCCATGTGTAGGTGACCATCCAACAATATTTATCACACAAAAAACTTTCAAAAAAAGTCTCTTAATATTTGTTCCTTTTTTGCCACAGATACAAGTGCCAATTGAAGTTGGTGAGCAAAACAATGAACATAGAAGGCATATTCATTATCTTTCAATATAAGTGCTTTTAACCCATTAAACTGACCTCGTATATTACTTGCACAATCATAACCTTGTCCACATAATCTTGATATGCTCAAATTGTATTTAGAGAACAATGTTTTGATTCCCATCTTTAGTGACAAAGCAGTCGTATCCGTGACATGCATAATGCTCAATAGACACTCAACAACACATCCTCTTTTATTTACATAACGTAAGATAATTGCCATTTGCTCTTTGTTGGATCCATCACGAGCTTCATCAACTAGTATAGAAAAAGAAGCATCTCCAAGATCACTAATTAGTTTGTTGACGGTTTCAACTGCAAATGCATTGATTATATCTTTTTGGATACTAGGAGCAATCAATTTATCATGTCCAGGAGCATTCTCCAATGCTACTAATCTATATTCTTCATTTTGCTCAGCTGTATAGTGTAAAAGTTCAAGAAAGTTTCCCCGATTCATTGAATTAACATACTCATCATGGCCACGAAAAGGCAATCCTTGCCGAAGAAGAAACCAACTAGCAGAAATTGATCATTTCAACCGAATACGATAATCTTCTCGTTGTTTGTCAGATTTCTTATTAATAATTGTACTTACATGCTGCTTATGGTTCATCAAAGCTGGACAATTTTTCACAGCTTGATTATGATAGCTGTTAGGACCTCCAATATGATATTTAAATTTTTCAAGTCTTTTCCAATTGCGAAACCCATCAAGAACAAAAGAATCACAACCACTTTGCTCACCTTTTTCTGGTTTGAAAAGATAACAACATAAACAATATACAGCAACATTCTCAACACTATATTCCAACCAGTAAGGATATTTGTCAAACCAAGAATGTTGGAAACTCTGTTCATGATCACCAGATTTTGATTTAGGAAACTTATGGTTGCAAGGTTGACAAGGACTCTTCTGTAGATAACGCATTCTGACTTGGTCTCGAACATTAGGATGATAAAACGTAATTCTTGGTCGAAATCTAGGATCAAAAGGAAGATTTTCCAAGTCAACTTTGAAGCAATTTTTCTTTGAAAAATGTTGGTTTTCATGATCATTGACACCAGAACAAAGTTGAGATGTCTCAACAATTGACTTTCTTTTAAAATATGTTTCCATATCTAAATACAAAGAAATAAAAATATATAAATACAAAGAAATAAATTAACTCACGAATTGAATTCTAGAATAACTATAGAAATTCTAGATTTTCCAACTTAAAAAATTAAAAAATACATAAAAATAAAACCCTCCTTGATTCTATCTATATTTCTATTTCTATATATTATTTTTCTTCCAAATTTTGAGACCACAAAACAATCATTTACCTATCACAAAATATTGGCATCTAAAAACTTCTCCTTTTTTCCTAAAAGTTTTCTCAATAAAAAATTCAATGCACAATGCTATTATACTAATACACACAAATAACAAAAAGGCACTATACACAAAGAAAAAAATACTAATCAGAGAGAAATTAACTGATAGAATTTTGTTGAAGAAGAATTAGGGAGAGCACCAATCCACCACAGGAGTTGTGGAAGATGCGAGCGACCACCGCACTAACTTACTGAGGGTTTGCAAATTGCAACTGCAAAGGAAGATTCTAATTTTACAAGTTTCAGTAAAAAATTGAAGGTGGGCGGTGAGCAAGTTTTTTAGTATAAATGGGAGAGTGGGCCAAGACTTTTAGTTCTAAAATTGAGAGTGGGCCATAATTTTTTAATATTTGACAATAAAAATTAAGGGTGGGCCAAAGTCCAAGTAAATAGAATAATGTATTTAATTATTATTTTTTTTTAAATTGAGGGTGGGACACTTTGGATCCGCCCCTGAATACTAGTAAATCCTAAATCCTTGAAAGCAAAAAATAATGCGAACAAATGACACAAAATAACCACACACAAACACAAGATTTATATTGGTTCACTCTCTGTATGAGAGCTACGTCTATTTTGCCGCTGCGGAATTTCACTATGAAGAAGAAGAAAAATTACAAGAGTCTCTTAAGCCTCACAAATTGACTTACTCACTAAACCCTATTTGGTGGCTCTCACTCTGATTGTGGTTTTGTCTTTTATTCAATTTGTGTTTTCCAACTCTAGGATTTAACCATTTTTTATAGGTAATATATGGGACACAATTCTTAATAGGACTCAAATCTCATATCTTAATGGGAATTATATTTTAGTTCCTAATACAATTATAATCCTATTTCCAATTGTATTCCTAAAAGAAAACAATTCTACTTAAACACAAATTAGGAAAACCCATGTCCTAATCCAACTTTAATTTGGATTGAATTTGGCTCCACAATCTCAACAGGTGGCGTTGGTTGGCCAGCTGCCGACGATGGTGGCTAGATGACAGTGGTGATCTGTAATTTGTTTTAAATATAAGGGCATTATTGTCTAAAAACTTAATTAAACAATGGTAAAATTGTAATTGTGGATTAATGTAAATTGATTTTAAAACAAGGGCATTATTGTCCAAATTTTTTATTAATAAGTGATAAAATTATAACAAAAATAAGTTTACCAAGTAATCTTATAATAACTAAAAAAATAGAGTAGATTATCTTCAACATTACCAATAATAATTACTATTGATATAATACTGGAATCTTATATTAGTTAACAACCAAACGTGATAATCCAGTAATATAAAATGATATTATTTTAGTAATTTCATATAACCCCAACCAAACGGCCCTTTGGGTTTAGGGCCACTAGGTTCAAGTCTTGTATTTTAAGGTATTGAGATATCCAAATAAGGGTAGTTTGCTTTTTGAACAGGAATCTTTTACTTAATCGTTCGTTAAATTCAAGAGGGTCTAGACATAGTTAAACCAAACCCGCGTGGATAAAGTCTCTTTCTAATTTTATAATTTGGGAACGTGCCAAAGTCAAGCATTGACCAAGTGGTATTATTAACAAGATTTTTCCCATCCGCTCGTTTTATTGATGTTAGTGTAACTGTTCTCTTTATTTACCCTCGAACTAAAGTAGATCCATAAATTTCTCTTGGCTGTATGACTTTGTCCTTCAAGGCATGATAAATTCCATATAAAATCCCCTGAATGGTTCCCTTTAATTCCATATCTTAGAACGCATTCCACCTCTCTCTTTCTTAGGTGAAGCCAAGAGAGAGAGAGTAACTTCTAAACATTTACTTCTGTTTGTCAAACAACCATCAAAGGAATGGCAAGAGATCTTCGACATGTGATGAAGCCTTGGATTGAGGTGGCGCCACCTCTTACTGGGTTGCCGCGGATTGCTTCTAATGCTCCAAAACTGGAAACGATTAGAGAAGAATATGAAGAGGAGGAACAGGAAGATTAAATTGATAATGGCTTTAGTTAGGGCTGATTTTATGGCCTAGTTTTGTGTCCCTGTCCGAAAGAGGACTTTGGTGGAGACAATAGAGCCGTCCAATTTCCTCACTTTGATCATATTGTAATTGTTAATATCAATGTTATACATTATCTAATTCATCTTCTTCTTGTTTAAATGTCAATGTCATACATTATCTAATTCGCTTCACCTATGGTCGGTATCTCTAATTTCTCTCTTACCACCTCCCTGCATGCACCCACAAAAGCATTGCAGCTTTTTGTGATATATTTGCAATAACTTTCTTCGGTGCAATTAATTGGCTTGCATTATGAAATATTTAATTGGCCTAGACTTGTTGCAGAAGCAAAATTTAAATTAAACTTTTAATTGAACAGAAAATTTCATTCACATCAGACCCACTGACTTAGTGGGATCCTTGGGCGTTGAGCCTAATGAAAGCAAACTTTTTAAAATTCACTTCAATTTATTCTAGACTGTGTCATAACCGTTAAAAGATAAGAGTAATGCTATTAACCTAATATTTATTTTAAATTGTGTCACCATATCGTTTTATTCAATACATTGATATGTTATTTATGTGTCAATATCACACATAATAACTTAGTACTTAAGATATCAATTTTGGAATGAATTAACTATCAACGTTTTAAAACCCATCTCAGGGTGAAACCCGGCAAGGTGGCCGAGTCTTGGGTTGATTGGTTGAACCGGTTTGACCAGTGGGTCAAACAAGTGACGTCACCATGTATAAAGGTTTGAAATCAAACAAAAATACTCTTAAGTTTGAAATCTTACAAAAACACCCCAAGTTACACTATCGGCGTCAACAACCCAGGCCAAATTGGGCCTATTTTTGATGTCGACAACACACCCCATCACCACGAAAACATTTCCTTCTGTCTCCTGAACAAAAACCATCTCACCCCACCTCGTTCGCCTCGCCAATTGCCTGCAACAATCGACTATTTCTGATGATCGATTTTTGCGATTTTCGGTCGTTTCACTCACCAAAAATCACCTCCGTTGCCACCTTTCGACTCACCTGCTTTTACTCTTCAAAAGCCCCAACATCCCATTCACCATTTGTTTGCCAATCGTCTTCCTAATCTCTAGGGTTTGTCATGAACAGTCAAAATTGAAAACCTGCCAAGTGAGGGCCCTGGGTCTCTGTTGAACCGGCCAGGTCGGGTTTTAAAACATAGATAAATTTCTTTTTTGGTAACCAACATAGATAATTATTGTAAAACGTAAAATAGATTGAAATTGTAAATTTAATTTCAACTCATTAAATAAAGCCTCGACCATAACTCACTTTAACTCTTCCTATAAATTTTTCTTAGGTTGAACTACACATTAGTCTATGGAAAACATTAAATTTGTTTATCTCGACAATAAAGTTCAGAAATTAACCCATTTTATTTATTTTTATTTTTTTATAACTAGCCAGTTTACGCGTACCTCAATTAATCCCTAGGGTCCATTGAATACTGTACAAGTGCAAAAAACCAGATAAATTACAATGTGATAGGTGACCCCAATGTTTGAACCTAGAAATTCAATGAATGAAGCAAACCTCCATGATCGCTAGGCCAATCCCTTGGGTTAAATCTCTTGGTTTTAGTTCTCTCTACTTCCCTTTTGTATTTTGATTTGGTATTTTTTGAGACCAAAATTGTATTTAAGAAAATTTTGCAGATATCATATCACTTATCCCATGAACCAATAAATTTACGTATAAATAAAAACTATTACCTAATTATTGAAATCAAGTGAAAGTGAATAAATGAGAAAATGCAATAAGTAACCTAACAAACCTTTCTGATTTTTGTTCATTTTACCTTGCACTTGGATTTTGTTCATTTTGGTTGGCCAAAAATAAATATACTGAAAATAAATAACTCTATTTTTATTTATATCAATACATATTGTATCCAAAAACCTCGCAGCCATATTAATTTCTAGCCATTGTTAACATTCAACAACATTTTTCTCCACCTCTCAAATTTTAGAGTTACGAGTATGGTTGTCAGGTGTCTATGTTGATACAGATGCTTAATTAAACTAGATTCGGTCCGTAATTTTCTCCTGGCTGTTACTCTGCAAGCCATAATAAACTCTATATAAAACCTGAGACTATCGATACCCTCTTCAGACTTCAATCAAACAATTCCAAACCAATTCGTCTCTGAAATTTGTAAAGTTTTTCGCCATTGCATTTGTTTATCTAAAGTATCTATCGCAGCACTCTCTTTCTCAGGTGATAAAGCCTAGGAGGAAGAGAGACCATTTAATTTAAAAAAAAAAAAAAAAAACGCAGAAGAAACTTGATAAAATGGCAAAGGAACTGAGACACACAATGAAGCCCTGGATTGAGGTGGCTCCCTCGCTTTTTGACCATTTCCCATTGAAGTATTCAAATCCTCCAAAACTAGAGACTATAAAAGAAGAAGAGAAAGCCGAAGAGTTTGAAGAGGAGGACGATGAGTAAATGAGTATTTTATTATTATTATTATTTTTATTTATTTTTTTTTTTTTGCTAGGGCAGTCTTTTAGTGACAATTCTATTATTGTAAATGTCCCTGCTCCCGAGAACTGGGTGACGTAAATACTCGTTCATTCAATCTCCCAATGGGAAATGATACAGAATTATCAGAGATCGATGGTCTGGAGTATGTGTACTAGTTTCATGATTTAACTCTAATCTGGTCACATCTGTATTCTACTTATGTAATTTATACATAAAATTAAACTTAATTTAACATA